TTCCATGAGAAGGTGCAGAGCTCCTCCAAGTCCGTGTATCCACGCTGCTTGAGATCCATTGTTCCTGGGTTCACAGCTGGTCCCTGGGTGTTATGGTTGCAGAGTCCCGGGATGTATAGGCTTCCAATAACAGCCTCTCTACCCTTCAAGATGGCACAGTCTCTGTGGCAGAGCTGGTCGCTCCGGAAGAGATTTCAGCAGCAGTGGAGGCTGCCCTGGTCAGGGGAGCCTGGTCCGCAGTCCCCAACAGTCCCTTGGAGTATAGCTGTCCCTCACCCACCACTTGTATTTTTTTTATGTCTTAATACTCATTTCTACCAAAATGAAAAATACTTTTGGTAATTGACTGAATTCAAAAAATTTCAGAGATCAGATTAAGTTGCAACTTAAAGCTCTATGTTTGTGGTAGCAAGCTAATAGAAAGCAGTGCATATATATCATCCATTGTTTCAGCTCTAATGTATAAAGGGATAGTGAGTTGTACATATAGGTTACTCTTTTTTTTAATTTTTTTATTTCAAAGTTAATGCATGCTCATGGTTTAAAATGTTTTCAGACAATGCAGAATGTATAAAGAAAAAAGCAAAAGTAACAGTAGTTATGTCCACAACTAACCACTATTATGTAAGTAGGACAAGGGTTTGTGTACTTGTTTTGTTTTTGTTTTTTTTACTTTCTTTTTTAAAATATTTTCAAATCTAAAAAAACTTATAAACATAGAATAGTACAAAGAACACCCAAATACTCTTCACCCAGATTAATCTATTGTTAATACATTTTATCCCATTTCTCTGTTTGTATATGTGGTCATACTCTCTCCAGCACAAGCTCCCTCACACCCTCACACACTCACATACATTACACACATGCACACTATTGTTTTCAGAATCATTTAAGAAGAAGTTACATACATCATGGCCCTAGATATTTTAATGTGTATTTCCTAAGATAGACATATTCTTTTATAATTATCAACTTTATAATTTTATATTAACACAAAAGTTTTGTCTAACCTGCCATCCATATTCCAATTTAATCAATTGATATTACATCATTCCTTTATAAAAACTTCCCTCTCCCTGCCCTGACCAGGTGGCTCAGTTGGTTGGAGCATTGTCCCATATACTAAAAGGTTGCAAGTTTGGATTCATGGTCAGGACACATACCTAGGTAGTGGGTTTGCTCCCTGGTCGGGGCCATATAGGAGGCAACCAATCAATGTTTCTCTCTCTCCTTTCCTCTCTCATTGAAATCAATAAACATATCTTTGGGTGAGGATTAAAAATAAAATTTCCCCCTCCAGTTCAGATTCCAGTCTAAGGTCAGGTTTTGTATTTGTTAAATCTCTAGATTCCTTTAATCTGGAACATTTCTACAACTTTCTTTGTATTTGATGACATTAATGTCTTTAAAAAATACAATCTCTCCTCTTTCTCTTTCTTTTCTTTCTGTTTTTTTTTTTTTTGTTCATTTCTTTAAGTAGAATATTTCTCATTTTTTATTTGTCTGGTGTTTCCTCCTGATTAGTTTGAGGTTATGCATTCTTGGTCAGAATATTGTAGAGAAACCAAGATGGCGGCATATGTAAACACCGGAGATTGCTGCCTCGCACAACCACTTCAAAAATACAACTAAAAGACATAACGGACATCATCCAGAACCACAGGAAGGCTGGCTGAGTGGAATTTCTACAACTAGAAGGAAAGAGAAAAGCATACCGAGACTCAGAGGAGGTGCAGTGCTGAAGTAAATACAAAGGTGCGGAGGTGCATGTGAAGAGGGCTGGCGGCTGAGGACACGATTGTCTTTTTCAATCGGGAGGGAGACTCAGGCTCTGAGCTCCAGTTCCAGGCAAGTCTTTGGGGACCCAAACTTACATGGGAGAAACGGGATTGTCTGGCATCGGTTGGAACTTGAGGGCAGCTCTCTCTCAGAGGCACTCTCTCAGCGATTGCCAGGACCTCTGAAGGCAGGACTGAGAGCAGCCATACTGCTGGCTCGCTCGGCCCGCCCTGTTGATCCCCTGGGACCCCGCCCCGCCCAAGCCGTGCATGGAGGCTTTTGCATATGAAAGGTCCGGCCCTTTGTAATCTGAAAATAACTTAACAAACTTCAGCTGCCCCAAGGCCCCAGGGCCACTTGCATTGCTTTACAGCTGGCTTCTGCTGGGTAGCCTTAGGCAAAGGCTAGATTAGCACCTCCTTAGATCCAAGAGCCAGTGTACCCAGTGGTCTGAGTGGGACCATCCAATTACAACTACTCAGATCTATAAGGGACACACTCAGGGGGCAGACTCAGTGAACACCAAAGCCCCACTGAAGCAAGTCTTGCCCCAGAAGGGTGTCTTCAGCACAGAAGTTCTCCCACCGTAGACACAGCTGATTCTCACAGCCAATTGGCCTGAAGGTCAAATCCTCCCAGCTTTACATACAATAATCAAGGCTTAACTACAACAAGACTGTGCACAAAGCCCGAAAGGGGGTGCACCAAGAGTGTCTACCTCAGGTAATTGGGACACTTAGCACAGAAAGCCACTCTATCGACACAGCGAAGCACAAAAAATGCCGAGACCAAGAAACAGGACACAAATGACAGAAATGGAGGAAAGCAAACTGCTGGATATAGAGTTCAAAACCACACTTTTAAGGTCTCAAGAAATGTCTAGACGCGGCCGATAAATTTAGTAAGACCCTCGAAAAGACTGCTGAGACCGCCGATAAATGTAGTGAGATCCTCAAGAAATCTAGTGAGACCCTCGATGTTGTGATAAAGGACCAACTAGAAATTAAGCATACACTGACTGAAATAAAGAATATTATACAGACTCCCAACAGCAGACCAGAGGATCGCGAGAATCAAGTCAAAGATTTGAAATACGAAGAAGCAAAAAACACCCAACGGGAAAAGCAAAATGAAAACAGAATCAAAAATACGAAGATACTGTAAGGAGCCTCTGGGACAGCTTCAAGCGTACCAACATCCGAATTATAGGGGTGCCAGAAGAAGAGAGAGAGCAAGATATTGAAAACCTATATGAAGAAATAATGACAAAACTTCCCCTACCTGGTGAAAGAAATAGACTTACAAGTCCAGGAAGCACAGAGAACCCCAAACAAAAGGAATCCAAAGAGGACCACACCAAGACACATCATAATTAAAATGCCAAGAGCAAAAGACAAAGAGAGTATCCTAAAAGCAGCAAGAGAAAGAAAGTCAGTTACCTACAAGGGAGTACCCATATGACTGTCAGCTGATTTCTCAACAGAAACTTTGCAGGCCAGAAGGGAGTGGCAAGAAATGTTCAAAGTGATGAATGCCAAGAACCTACAACCAAGATTACTTTATCCAGCAAAGCTATCATTCAGAAGTGAAGGTCAGATAAAGAGCTTCACAGATAAGAAAAAGCTAAAGGAGTTCATCACCACCAAACCAGTATTATATGAAATGCTGAAAGGTATCCTTTAAGAAGAGGACGAAGAAGAAAAAGGTAAAGATACAAATTATGAACAACAAATACACATCTATCAACAAGTGAATCTAAAAATCAAGTGAATACATAATCTGATTAACAGTATGAACTGGTGATTATAATAGAATCAGGGACATAGAAAGGGAATGGACTGACTATTCTTGGGGGGGAAAGGGGTGTGGGGGGTGCGGGAAGAGATTGGACAATAATCGTGCACCTATGGATGAGGACACTGGGTGGGGAGTGAGGGCGGAGGGTGGGGTGGGAACTGGGTGGAGGGGAGTTATGGTGGGAAAAAAGAGGAACCAATGTAATAATCTGAACAATAAAGATTTAATTTAAAAAAAAAAGAATATTGTAGTGGTGTTGTATCCATAGGGTACCACAGTGTCCTTTTATTCCTAATTGGTAATGTTAATTTACAATAGATTTTTTTAATTCTCCCTTATGATTAATAAGTAGTGTATGGAGAACATGCAAATATCGGTATCAAAATTTCCCCACAGATTTCACATTCATTGATGACTTTTGCCTGATCTAATCTTGACCATGGTGGTTTCAAAATGATCACTTTCCAACCCTAGCTCTCATTTCCCACTTACCAGTTGGCCCTCAACATTCAAATCTAAGCAAGAGCCCTCTTCCTTCCCCATTTATATATTTATGTGGTTGATACTTATTTATTATAGCCATATGAATTTTTTTCTCAATGGTGTATAATTTATTACTGTACTTAAGTATTTTGGTACTAAATTGTCCCAGATTTGGCCATTTGGGTGTTCCCTACCTACATTTGGCTTTTGTGTGCAACAAGGTCTTTAACATAATTTCTGACTATAGTTTATGTTCATTTAGAAGCAGTATTTTTACACTTTATTTCTTAAACCTAATTGATGAATAAAAAGAATAGGCATTAAAATTATGCTAGATCACTGGACTTTGTTTAAATAATGAATAGCACAAAGTATGTATATATACGCTCTCTCACAGTAGTCTATTTTAGGCCCATAGAATGAGGTCATCTTTTTAATGTTCTTTGTGTCTTCTGGCTTTAGTGTCCCACTCTTCTGGCTTTTAAAAGGCCAATCGATGTATGAGATCATTCCCTTAGAATGGGGTGGGGAATTAGAAAAACAAAGAAATATTTCATCCTTTCTCCTGGGAGCACTAAATGTGTCTATGTGGTGTGCTGTCATCTTGAGGACTCTAGAGTCCATGTAGAATTATATATATAAGGTTAGAAAAATAACTATAATCATCATCTTGTGAATTTGTTATAAGAATTACCTCAATAGAATTTGTCTTCATTAAGTCAAAGGAAATAGTCTATAAAAAGTCAGAATCACCTATTTATTTTACAATTTAGAGAGTATACTATTTTATATGACATTTTTAATTCTCCTTTAAAGCTTATTCCCCATATACTTTTCTTACCATGCTCTAATTGTCCTCTGTGTTCTTCAAATAGCTCATTGATATTTTATCTAAATAAGATCTGTTTCTTTAAAATAATTCCACATTTCTTTCCTAGCGCTATCTTGATGAAGCAGATAGAGATAAGGAGCGTTACATGAAGGAACTGGAGCAGTATCAGAAGACTGAGGCCTACAAGGTGTTCAGTAGGAAAACCCAGGACCGTCAGAAAAGCAAATCTCAAAGACAAGGTATCAGAACCAGAACCAAATATATTTGTAGTTTTCTATGTGTGATGAGCCTACAAAGCCTACTGTTAGAGTGATAAATATAAAATGTATGTTTTTATCATTTCTCTATTATACTACATTCACTTATAAGCATCATCTTGGAATTTTATTAAAATCACATTGCTCTGATTTATAAATTCCAATTGGTTTCCATATCAGTATCAACAGTCTGGCTTGTGCTCCAAAACCCCTTTTAGATGTCTGTGCTTTTTTCTAATTCCTAGTATAGTTATTTCTCTGTCTCTAAACAAGTCTGTCTACTAAACCACATAACTGCCTTGCCTTAACACCTCTAAACCTTTTATATGTCATTTCTCACAGCCTCAGGTAATCATCCTTTTCATTCATGCATTCACGTACGTGTGCATTCAAAAAAATATCTATTGAGCACCTCCTGTTACACATCAGCCTCTCACCTAGCCTTTAAGAACGCACCAGTGAACAAGATAGACAAGATCCTGGTCTTCATGGATCTTTTATTATACATTAAAATTGTTCCTCCCACCCTTACAAGTATTGCTTTAAGTTCCCCTTCTTCAGGAAAAACTGCAAAGACGCCTCACCCACAACTAGTCTGTCATTCCTTAGTCATTGCATCTTCTCACACTTTGGGCATTTTGCTTGCAAAACTGTAATGTTGTGCAAACAACCTTTGGCATATGTTTCCTATTCACCTTCTCACTGTATTCTCCTCAACGGTAAGAACTGTGTCTGCTGTTTCTCTTGTGTCTAATTGTAACTAATAAATACTGACTAACTAGTTAACAAAGCCATAAGAGAAAATATCATATGTTGTGCTAGCCTACATATACCAGTAGTTTTTGTGGTTTGGCACAGTTGTTTCCTTGGGTCTAATTATTGCTCTGTTTTGCTTTTTTAACTTAATGTTTTTTTATTCTTTCATATTTTTTAGATGCAGCCAGACAGGCCACTCATGATCATGAGGTAATTTGTTTTTTTTCTACATTATCTATATATATGAAACCCTAATGTGCAAATAGACCAAATGACGGAACAACTGAACAACCAGTTGCTATGACGCACCAGGAGGTGCGCACAGAACATGGCAGGCATCGGCAGCAGGCGGCAGAGTGCTGAACATGGCAGGCATTGGACGTAGCGGAATGGTAGAGCAGGTGAGCGGGGCGCCAGACCACAGTGGGGCACCGGTTGCTGTCATCGGAGTGAGCCTCTGGTGATTACTGAAAATTCTTTGCTCCCACATGCCGTGGTCCCACCAGGCGCTCTCACCCACTGCCGGCGCCAGAGCCGCCGCTCGTACCCATTGCCAGTGCTGGCCCCGCTCGCACCCACAGCCAGCACTGGAGCCACCATTTGCATCTGCTGCTGGCGCCCGGTGCCGTCCCTGATCACTTGGCGCCATCAGAGGATGCGAGCAGCAGCTGCTGGCCCCAATCGCCCCTCAGGGCTTCTCCACCTCCCCCTATTCCTGAGGGGCGATTGGCCGACAGCCGCCTCTCTTACCCGCTGCTGGCACCAGCCCCAATCGCTCTGCGCTGTCAGTGGGTGCGAGTGGGGCTGGTGCCGTCAGCACATGGGAGCAGCAGCGGTGGCGGGAGCTGAGCTGCCCTCAAACAGGGAACAGCGGGCCAGGGCAGGAAGGGCTGGGCAGGGGCGCAGAGGATGGGCCGAGATTTGCCCCTTTGCCCACCACAGCCTCGCATCCACAGTTCCTTTTCACGGTGCACTGGGCCCCTAGTATATATATAATGTTATTTGAAATTTTGAAATGCTATTGGACTTTTTTTTTCTTTAATTAATGGCACAGTATTTCCTATTCCATAATTAAGATTTGGTTAGTTGCTTTAGCTCAGGGATTTATAGTATGTGACAGACACTTATGTCATGGGTGTGCTCTTGAACTATTCAACCCCTAACTTCAGTCTTTTCTTGTGGTCCAAGAATTTTAATGGCTTTAAATGCTGAAGATGGCTGGGATTTGGAGTGAGATATAAAAATGAAGAATAGCTGAAAGCTAAAATTGGACCATAGTGTATCATCATCAAATACCTTACTCTGACTCTCAAAAACAAGTTGTTATTTAAGGAATCCAGCACTTGGTTAAAATGAACTATTCAGCTACAGTGTCAATATAACACAAGTGACAATATTTGATTCCTGTGCCTCCTTTCCTCACTGGCACACATTTGTTTACTTGACCTTTTCCCCTCCATTTGTTTTAACCTCATCAATAGACCTATGTTCCTGTGTGTGAATATAGAATTAGGCCTATGTGTGTTAGCTATGCTGCATAGAGAGCTTTAAATATATATATGTAGGCTACGGTTAATACAGCCATGTGCCACTTAACAGGGATACATTCTGAGACATGTGTCACTAGACACATTGTGGGAACATCATAAGAGTATACTACACAAACCTGGAGGTTTTAGCCTATCACACACTTAGACTGTATGTTTACCTCCATTGTATATGTGGTCCTTCGTTCACCAAAACAGTGTTATATGGCACACAATTATATATGGTAAGAAAATAAAATTTGTAATTATATGTCTTAAAATGCTTAGTGACTCCTCATTGCTTACCAAATCACATTCAAACTCAACAGTTATGGTCTTCTGTGATTCAGTCCCAACTACCCTTTTCAACTACCTTAGCTCCCATATTTCCCATATATATCTTATGAACTTAAAAGCCTTTACTTACAACTCATTGTCCTCCAAGTACCCCATCCTTCTCTACCTCATGCCTATGCTCATATTCTTTTTTTCATAACAATACTATTTTTCCCTTGATCATTTTTTTAAAATATATTTTATTGATTTTTTTACAGAGAGGAAGGGAGAGTGATAGAGAGTTAGAAACATCTATGAGAGAGAAACATTGATCAGCTGCCTCCTGCACACCCCCCACTGGGCTGGAATCGAACCTGGGACTCTTCAGTCCGCAGGCCGATGCCATATCCACTGAGCCAAACCAGTCAGGGCTCCCTTAATCATTTTTTCCATCCATCCCTCCCCCACATCATCCCATTCTTCCTCTCAGAATTCTGGTCATAAGGTTCCATTTCCTCCTTCAAGTTTGTCCTGTTTCCTCCAATTTCCTTTAACCCTCACAGCTCTATTTCTCTTATGCATGTAGCTAATCTGGCCTGACGTTGAGGTTATTGAAGTGCTTCCATTATTCAAACTTTAGGATTGTAATTTCTTTGAAGGCATACATAGTCTAGTTTCCATCTTGTATCCAACCCCATATCACCTAGCATGACACCCTTGCATAAGGCCATCCATAAAGACTTATTTATTTATTTATTTATTTATTTATTTATTTTTAATTGCAAAAAAATACTTTAATTGATTTTTAGAGAGTGAAAAAGGGAGAGGTAGGGAGAGAGAGAAATATCAATGTAAGAGTGAAATATCAATCGGCTGCCTCCTGCACTCCCTCTACCAGGGATGGAGCCCACAACCCAGGAATGTGCCCTGACCGAGAATCGAACTGGCAACGTTTCAGTGCACAAGAAGATGCCCAACCAATTGAGCCATACTGACCAGGACAAGGACTTATTTATTTTTATACAAAACTGATTTATTGAAATAACAGTGGAAATTTATACAAAAAGAATTTTCTGATATATTCTTTTTTTTTTTTAATCCTCACCCGTGGATATGATTATTGATTGTTAGAGAGAGAAACACCAATCAATTGCCTCCTGTACTTGCCTCGACTGGGGATCGAACCCACAGCCTAGATATGTGCCCTACCTGGGAATTGAACCCAAAACCTTTTGGTGTATGGAACGACACTCCAGCCAACTGAGTCACTTAGCCAGGATTCTGATGTATTCTTTCATATGTATTTGGTTTTTGGTTTTTTTACTAAATCAAGGAAATCATTTTATCAAAATACTCATTTATCTTGGAGTTGTAGTTTTCATAATTTGGTATTGGTGACCTTCAGAACACTGGGAAAACATTTAGACTCACAAAGATTTATTATAAATTGATTTTGTCATGAATTATAAAATGATAAACATAATAAATATTAGCATTTTATTCTTCATATAAATCCAATGTAAATGTAGTTATATATGACATCTCTGTGCTCTAAGTAAGAGATGTTATGAATTTTTTTGACTTGAAAAATTGTATGCTTTATATTTTACTTTTTATATTTTACTTTTTTATTTTTAAATTACAGTTGACATACAATACTATATTAGTTTCAGGTATACAATCTCATGATTAGACATTTATATAACTTGCAAAGTGATCACCCCCGATAAATCTGGTACCCATCTGATACCATACATAGTTAATACAATAATATTTATTATACTAGATGCCCAGTGCACAAAATTCGTGAACTGGAGGGTGAGGGGGGTCCCTCAGCCCGGTCTATGCCCTCTTGCAGTCTGGGACCCCTCGCTCCGTACCACCTGCCTGCTTGCTGCTCCCTACCGCTCAACTTGCTACTCCTTAGTGCTGCCACGGAGGCTCTAGCCCCTGCCGCTGTGCTCGCCAGCCATGAGCCCAGCTTCTGGCTGAGCGGTGCTCCCCCTGTGGGAGCTCACTGACCACCAGGGGGAGCTCCTACGTTGAGCATCTGCCCCCTGGTGGTCAGTTCATAGCGACCAGTCATTCCACTGTTCGGTTGATTTGCATATTATGGTTTTATTATATAGGACTAGAGGCCCGGTGCACAAAAATTTGTGCACTCGGGGGGGGGGGGGTAGGGTGGTCCCCCAGCCTGGCCTGTGCCCTCTCGCAGTCTGGGACCCCTCAGGAGATAACGACCTGCTGGCTTAGGCCTGCTCCCAGGTGGCAGAGGGCACGCCCAATCCCTAGGTGCAGCCCCTGGTCAGGCTCAGAGCAGGGCCGATTGGGGAGTTGGGGCGCCGCCCCCTGTCATGCACAGAGCAGGGCGGATCGGGAGGTTGCGATGCCACCCTCAGTCATGCTCAGGGTAGGGCCGATTGGGAGGTTGGGGCACCGCCCCCTGTCACACTCAAGACAGGGTCGATGGGGAGGTTTCGATGCCACCCCCTGTCACGCACAGAGCAGGACCGATCAGGGGGTTGGGGAGCTCCCCCCTGTCACGCACAGAGCAGGGCCGATCAGGGGGTTGAGGAGCTCCCCCCTGTCATGCACAGAGCAGGGCCGATCAGGGGAGTTGGGGCACCGCCCCCTGTCACACACAGAGCAGGGCGTATCAGGGGGTTGGGGCGCTGCACCCTGTCACACTCAGGGCAGGGCCAATGGGGAGGTTATGGCTCTACCCTGTCACACACAGAGCAAGGCCGTGGAGGGGGGTTGGGGCTCCACCCTCTATCACCCAGAGAGCAGGGCCGATCAGGGGGTTGGTACGCCGCACCCTGTCAAACACAGAGCCACAGGGTGATCAGGGGATTGGTGAGCTCCCCCCTATCAGGCACAGAGCAGGGCTGATCAGGGGGTTGGGGCGCCTTCCCCTGTCACGAACAGAGCAGGGCGGATAGGGAGGTTGTGGCCCCGCCCCCTGTCACTCACAGAGCAGCAGGGCGATCAGGGGGTTTGGGTGCTGCCCCCTGTCACGCTGATCCCGGTGCCGGGAGGCATATTACCCTTTTACTATATAGGATAGAGGCCTGGTGCATGGGTGGGGGCCGGCTGGTTTGCCCTGAAGGGTGTCCTGGATCAGGGTGGGAGTCCCCACTGGGGTGCCTGGCCAGTCTGGCTAAGGGGCTGAGGGCCGTTTTCAGGCTGGCGGGTGACTGAAGCTCCCAACTGCTCCTTTTTTTCTTTTTCTTTTTTCTATTCTGGGCCAGCTTTAGCTCTGAGGCCTCGCTGCTGAAAGCAGGTTTCTGGCCTTTACCTTCTGTATTTGATACAATGTTGCGGTCCAGCTGGCTGAAGCCCGGCTGACTGAAAGCCGGTTTCTAGGGTTTTGTTTAGCTTCTATATTTGCATCGTAGTTGCTTAGAT